CCCCCCCCCCCCCCCCATTACTACATTGTGTTTGTTAACATTTTCCGCAGAAAACTGGTAAACAAAGGAGAAGACAACAGTGCAGAGAAAAAAATCGAAAGAAAAACTCCGAGTTGTGCAATAGCGAGTGATCACTGACCTTGGACAACCACATAGCTAAGCTACCTAGGCATAGACTTACAGGTACTATCCAATACTCAAGATTGTGTCACATTTTTTCCATGCATGATCCCTATCTCGGACCCCAGAAAAGGAGAATCCTACCCAGTTTTGTCCTACAAGGCATCAGTTTCCACGTAAAAGTTCAAAATCATATACGGCTTATTTCTCCTCGAAATGCCACTTTAAAAACATAGGACATGGAAAGTGCACTAATGATCAGACACCACCTTGTGCTGAGTTGTTGCTCGGGGGTAAATTGTAAAGAAGCAGGAAGGCACAAGGAAGACCGCTCCCCATCAGGGGGCATCTCAAAAGAGAAAAGGTGTTTTTACAACATTATTACATGGCTATTTCCAGAGTATGTAGAGGTGGTCATTCGGTCTTCCCATTTCTTTATGGCTATTGAGCTGAGAAAGCACTGGATATCAATCATCCAGGTCGAAATGAGAAGTTATATTTCAAGGCCTTTTCTTTTCACCCCATTCACGTAACCAACTTATATGTCGTTTCTTTCTCTCAACCTTACGACCTCTCATGCTATAAGTTCCACAGCACGACACTTTGGCCGCTACCATAAAGAACTTAAGGGCTTCAAAAACAAATTTCTAGCAAAGATTTTAAATACATTCATAAATCTAAGTTACTCAATAATCTCAGACTTCCTCATCTCCAATCACAAAGGCTCTTGACATTTTTATACCCTCCACATCCCACAAAAAAAGGACGAGGCACGCTTTCCAGCAAGTGCTCGACCCCCTAAGTGTTACAGCCAGTCAGTAATCAAACCCCGCTGAACTGTGAAAGTCTCCAATATCTTCGTACTCAAGTTGGATGCGTTTTCCAGGCTTAATTCTCCTAACAACGATGGCGCTCGACCCTATCTGGCGGAACGCTCGTGATGGCTACTTGTCCTATCCTATACGAGCTTCACTTTTTTCTTGCCATTAGGGTCAAACCTTTTCATCTTACAGGTGACTACGTACCTATTGGATAGCGAGAATTTCCAAAAAAAAAATGTAAAATCCAATTCGTAGACATAGAAATTTGTCACCAATGACAGTCCCATTCATTGTGAAGGTTCCAAATACAATCGCTTTACAGTAATAAGTAGAAGTTGAGTGCATGGCGCACCCTGGAAAATTTCGTTCAACACGGAGCAACCCCTACTAGTTGAGATCTAGTTAGGAAACGCAATTTACATATGCACCGCTCCATATAGTACAATAGTAGTTTCGCGTCAACTCTCCAGGCCTTGCTAGTGGTGAACTGGCACTGAGTGTTGGAGAGTACTGAGGAAGGCGTGACCAAGGATGTTGCAAATTGGCAATATTCCAAAGCAACGTCTAATGGAGCCGCTCCCAGCTCTTTAAGTCATTAAACTACGAAAACACTAATTAGCTAGAAGAAGAGGAATATCTCACCTCATGTCCGTTACAATTTTGGCAATGCGTTTCAGTTGAGTGCTCAGCAAATCGGCGACTACAGACAAATGTTTCTTCTCCTCTTTAGCCGTAAGCAAATCCCCTGCGGTTTGTGAAGAAAATCGACGAATTGCAAGACCGAATTGAGATAGCGCCTGAAATGAAGAAGCTAATCACTTAATGGTAGTTAATCATGAGGATGAAAGTTCTTTTTCAGCGCGAAGTAGATACAACAGTATCAGAGGACCACAATTGTTTAGCTCCTCAATTTTTGAACCAGAGGGCAGAAAGAAGCATGGAATCGCTCCTTGCAAGTTCTTTCAAAAGACCTTGAGCTTATATCAAAACTATAACGTTGAAAAGCATTCCCACTCGCAGATTGAAAGGAGAGACCACGGAAGAGTTTGGCTAGATCTTATGGCAAAAAAAAAACTGTGAGTTCAGGCACGACCTCTCATCCTTATTCTGGGAGGGCCGTGCTTCCAAGTTGAGCCATGCTTTCAGGTTGAAGCGGAGGTTCAGTTAAGCAAAGAAAAAAATCATAATCATTCATCACAATTTGAAATCAAAAGGAAGCATCCCAACCACCCCAGATTTTTGGAAAAGTGTTTGCAAGGGTCCTTGTAAACTTAATCTTAAAGGCACAGTTCACAA